CTAGTTTGTTCTGAATAAAACTGAAGGTTTGCGACTGTGAACGTGGCTATTTACATCCTCTCTGCGGACGTAGTTGAGCTCTGCTGGGCGGAGACGTTTGTTCTGACAATAGAAACTAGGACACTGATGAACCCTTCACCTTCACAGTAGAGGCGGGAAATTACTATTCTACTGTGAATCACTCACCTATCCACCTTATTTTCAAACACGGAAGTAAAAAGTGATCAACTTCCGTTTTTTTGTGCGTGACTTTCGGTCAGCCGCTTTCCCTCATGCTTTCCCTTACCGCAGCTAACGGTGGGCTCGCCAGGCTCGTGGGCTGCCTGCTAGGCTAAAACATCGCTCTCACTCACGGAGAAGAGGAGGAACGTTAGTGTTAGCTCCCAGTGTTAGCACTAGCCGGGTCGGCTCGCGGGCTGCTCAAGCTCCAGACATTAACCCATCCCGGTGTTTCCTCCGCAGCCTCCACTTCACCCAGCTTCACTCAGCTGCCCGATAAACCTGCTGCTTCTTCCCACTTTAACCTGAAACGATGTTTTAGCCTAGTGGGCAGCCCGCGAGCCAGCTGCCCGCAAAACATCGCTCTCACTCACGGAGAAGAGGAGGAACGTTAGAGTTAGCTCCCGGTGTTAGTGTTAGCACTAGCCAAGTCGGCTGCCACCGGCTACTGGAGTAACTTACAGCTATGGAGTGCTTCTATCAGCTCTTCTAGTCACTGAGCCTCGCCTCCATCTCAGCAAATATATCACAGGCTACATTTTACAATGCTAATTGAAAATGTTAGCTGGGCTGCCGGGCTAACTTACTCACTTAACACAACCGTAACGCCTGACCCATTGCTGGGACCGAGCCACTAATAACTCAAGCTCCAGACATTAACCCATCCCAGTGTTTCCTCTGCAGCCTCCACTTCACCCAGCTTCACTCAGCTGCCCGATAAACCCGCTGCTTCTTCCCACATTAACCTGAAAAACAAACCAATCAATCAATCGATCAATCAATTTTATTTACAAAGCCCAATATCACAAATCACAATTTGCCTCACAGGGCTTTACAGCATAAGACATCCCTCTGTCCTTATGACCCTCGCAGCGGATAAGGAAAAACTCCCCAAAAAAAAAACCCTTTAACAGGGGAAAAAAACGGTAGAAACCTCAGGAAGAGCAACTGAGGAGGGATCCCTCTTCCAGGACGGACAGACGTGCAATAGATGTCGTACAGAACAGATCAGCATAATAAATTAACAGTAATAGAGAAAAAGAGACAGAGACAACACGCGTCAAGTGCCGCCCCCAACACACACAAAAAGCGTCGCGCTGCGGGGCGTCAACCGGATTTCTATTGCACACTCCAGTCCGCTAGGCTGGGAAGTACAAAATAGCGTTTTTTCAAGGGCGGCCACGCTGGAAAAATAGGACAATAGCGTAAAGTGCCACGACGCGGCACGTCAACTTGCATCGAGCCGCCGCCAGTATGGGTCTGTAAGTAGAAAATAATGGGGGCGGCTGTTTTGACGCGCGTAGTATACAATATACACAATACAAAACATAGTATAGCATATTATGTATAGCACACCTTTGTGCACATATTCACTTTTCCACCAGCTGTGCTGCAAATATCCCCTGCTGCTCATCCTTCTGTATCTTTTTTCAAATTATCTTGACCACAGTCCCATTTTCATAGTTATAATACCAATACCAAAATTAATTTCAGTGTTTATGTAAATA